ACTGTCCTCTTGCCTACTCACAGGCTGGGGCAGAGTCTGGGGTCGACAGTGGTGCCGTCGGACCCGGAGAGGCTACGCAGCCTGTTTTGCCCCAGAGCTTGGGAGCAGGGCAGATGCTGGAGCCTCCTGGGGTCTGCCTGCCCAGCCCCCAGGCCCTAAGGTGGCTGACCAGCCCCGCCCTGCGCGCCACCTGGGTCTCCTGACCCCATGTCACTGTGCTCCTAGGTGGTCGCCGTGTACAATCTGACCCTGCAGGTGGCAGACATGTCTGGAGACGGCCTCACCGCCACTGCCTCGGCCATCATCACACTGGAGGATGTCAATGACAACGCCCCCGAGTTCACCAGGGGTCAGGTGCTGCCACCGTCCTCACCTCCACCGGCCGCTGCTCAGGGCTGGCCTCCCCCCGATCCTGGGGCTTCTGGTGGGTGGGAGGCTAGGTGCTCCACAGAGGAGGCATCCTGTGTGGATCGTGCAGGATACCCTGCCAGAGGCCAGCATCAGGGGTGGGGGGCTGTGAGCATGTCAGGAGCTAGAGGGCCCTGGGGGGAAGCCACCAAGACCCTGGGGTGTGACCTGTCCCCAAGCCTTCCTGGGTGGGAGGGAGCGGCAGCCCTGCCCTCCGGGGAAGATGTGCCCAGCACATGGCCGAGACTGGGAGGGGGCTCCTGGTGCCCTGGACTCCTCATGGGTGGGCAGTGGGAGGGTGACCCCGCAGGGGACCGTCCCCCGTCCACCCGTGGGTAACGGGGCCGAGTTCCCACAGTTCTTCCTGGAGGCCACAGAGGCCGTCAGCGGAGTGGACGTGGGGCGGCTGGAGGTAGAGGACCGGGACCTGCCCGGCTCCCCCAACTGGGTGGTCAGGTTCACCATCCTGGAGGGCGACCCTGACGGGCAGTTTGCCATCCGCACCGACCCCAGGACCAACGAGGGCGTGCTGTCTGTGGTGAAGGTGAGCTGAGGAGGGTGCCTCTCCTCACACCCTGGGACCCCGTTTGGATCCTCTGTGCATCCTTAGGAGGGGAGCGAAGGGGACCAAGAACGCTAGGACTGTGGGCTTGGGCCACGCTGAACACAGGGGGACAGGGCTGGAAGGAGGGGACAAGCCCACGTTACTTCCAGTGTCTTGCCACTTAAAGTATATGATCAACATGCACAAATACAGACCTCACATGTTGGCCAAACTGAGACCAGAGACAAAACCAGCAGGACATACGTGTGCACACATACACCTGTGCATACACACACGTGCATACACATGCAGAGAGATGCAGATGAGCTGTCAACACAGGAAGAGCTTTATTGCCAGAGACTGGCTCACGCCGGCCGTCGTGCAGGCGGCTGGCGAGTCTGGAGTCTGCGGGGCTGCGACAGGCTGCAAAGTCAGGAGCTGAGGCTGCATCTGGAGGTGGGACCCCTTCTTCCCCAGGGCAACCTCAGGTTTGCTCTCAGAGACTCTCACCCACAGATGAGACCCACCCAGGTTCTCCAGGACCATCTTCTTTATTTAAAGTCAGCTGATTGGACAGGTCAGTTCAACCACGTCCACCAAATACCCTCTTAGCAAGACCCAGGCGAGCGTCTGCTTGAGGCACCGAGGAGGACGCCCAGCCAGGGGACGGGAAACTGGCCTCACAACACCCAACAAATACGTTTGCATGATGAGTAGCCGTCATTTTGGCATTATTTTTTGTGCCTTTTTGTCCTGCATGATTTTTATTTTTCCGAGGCTAAAAAGCAGAAGGAAAGAAGGGGCTCTGAGGACAGAGCAGAAGAGGCCTCTCCGGCCGCAGCTGCCTCAGGCTTCCCTGAATGGGGGGAGGGGTCCGGAGTCCTGACGGACGGCCGCCCCGCTTCCCCTGCAGCCGCTGGACTATGAGAGTCGGGAGCGCTACGACCTCAAAGTGGCGGCACAGAACGAGGCTCCCCTGCAGGCGGCGGCCCCCAGGGCCGAGCGGGGCCAGGCCAGGGTCAGCGTGCAGGTGCGGGATGTCAACGAGGCGCCCGTGTTCCAGCAGAACCCACTGCGGACCAGCCTGGCCGAGGGGGCGGCCCCAGGAACCCCCGTGGCCACCTTCTCTGCCCGAGACCCTGACACACAGCAGCCGCAGAGGCTCAGGTGGGGGCCCTGGGTTGAGCGGGGGGAACTCGAAGCCCCAGTCCACCTCCCGGCCAGGGTAGCAGCACAGCTAAGGGTACTGAGCCCTGTGCCCGGAGGGTTCCCATCAGGGCCCTGGTCAGAGGACAGAGGGCTCATCTGTGTGCATCACCGAGAGCCCAGGGGCTCTCAAGTACCATGTGTGCGTGTGTGCGTGTTCACGTGAGGCAGGACTGGGCTGCATCTGGCGCACACTGACACGGCCCGTCTGTGTTGGCTAGCCTCTGAGTGTCCGGCCCTGTCCGTTCCAGGGAGCCTTTACTCCCCTAGGACTGGCTGTTACTGTCTTGGATTTCACCCCCTGCCCTGGTCCTGTGTACCCTTGTCTGTCAACATGGTGCCCACCGTTGAATCCTGGCTGTCACTCAGTGGCCACGGGGCCCTGGGCGGCACACCTGCCCTCCCCGAGCCTCAGTTTTTGCATCTGTTGATTGGGATGGAAAATACCAGCTTAGGGCTGTGGAAGGACTATCCTTAAAGGCCTGTGTATGTGTGCGTGTGTGCGCGTCTACACGTGACCACACCTCCGGGGGTCCGGCTCAGGCTCAGGGCCCCTCCTCCCCTCCTCGGCAACAGCTACTCCAAGGACTATGACCCTGAAGACTGGCTGCAAGTGGACGGGGCCACCGGCCGGGTCCAGACCCAGCGCGTGCTCAGCCCTGCATCCCCCTTCCTCAAGGACGGCTGGTACAGGGCCATCATCCTGGCCCGAGATGATGGTGAGCGTGGAGCTCGGCCTGGGTTCCAGGGCTCCCTAACCCTGGCTGGGGCCCCTGCTGCCGCCCAAGGGCTGAGAGCAGGCGCTCCACCGAGCAGACTTAAGGGGTGGGTGGGGGCTCTGCAGGGGCAAGGGGCCCACCAGGCCTCTCCTGCTTGCAGCCTCCCCACCCAGCACGGCCACAGGGACCCTGTCTGTTGAGATCCTGGAGGTCAACGACCATGCCCCTGAACTGTCCCCACCGTGGGGCAGCCTGTGCAGCACACCAGAGCAGGGCTCCGGCCTTCTCTTGGGGGCCACGGATGAGGACCTGCCCCCCCCACGGGGCCCCCTTCCACTTCCAGCTGAGCCCCAGGCTCCCAGAGCTGGCCCGGAACTGGAGCCTCAGCCAGGTTAACGGTGAGCTCGCCCCACGCCCCTGGGGGTCCAGAGCCTGGGGCAGGTCCCCACTGGTTCCCACCTCAGTGCACTGCATCCTCAGGCCCGCAGGGATCAGTTATCACACACACGGGACGGGTGGGGAACCGAGGCCGGCTGCCCCCGGAAGCACAGGCGCAGAGGGGCGTGGCCGCCCCCTACCCCTGCTGACCGCCGGCACCTTCCGCAGTGAGCCACGCGCGCCTGCAGCCCAGGCTCCAAGTCCAGGAGGGGCTGCACCGCCTGAGCCTGCTGCTCCAGGACTCGGGACAGCCGCCCCAGCAGCGCGAGCAGCCCCTGAACGTGACCGTGTGCCGCTGCGGCCTGGACGGCGCCTGCCTGCCGGGGGCCGCTGCGCTGCGGGCGGGTGGCGCGGGCATCAGCCTGGGCGCCCTGGTCATCGTGCTGGCCAGTGTCATCCTGCTGCTCTGTGAGTGCCCGCGCCTGCAGATCCCTGCCCTCCCCGCGCCGCCTGGCAGCCCCGCCCCGCCCGCCTTGCCCCGCCCCCGCCCCCCACCGACCTCCGCTGCTCCCCCCGCCCCCCCCAGTGCTCGCCCTGCTGGTGGCCCTCCTGGTGCGGTGCCGGCAGCAGTCGTGTGACAAGAGGCTTCTGCACGGGCTGCAGGACGACCTTCGGGACAACATCCTCAACTACGACGAGCAGGGGGGCGGGGAGGAGGACCAGGTGAGGGGGCCAGGGTGGCTTACAAGTGCTGGGGGGTCTCCCCAGGGGCCCCAGCTGGCCAGCCGCCTCCCGACCCTCACCCCCACGTGCTCTGTCCGTCCCTTCTCAGGATGCCTATGACATGGACCAGCTGCGCCACCCGGCAGAGCTGGCGGCCCTGGGTGCCCCGCTGGGACGGCCTTCTCTGCGCAGAGACGCCCCGTTCAGCCGATCGCACCCCCAGGCCCCCCGCGTGCTGCCCACCAGCCCCTCTGACATTGCTGACTTCATCAACGAGGTAGGTGCCCCAGGGGCGCCCTGCACCCCGTTCCCCCACCCCACGAGCCTGAGGCATCGCGCTGGGGCTGGACAGGGGTGGTGGTTCTTGCCGAGGAAGGAGAATCGCCCAGAGAGAACCTTGCCCCCAACCCGGCTCCTGGGGCCAGGCCTTGGCCGAGCCGGTGGCGGAGGGCAGTTGGCCGGCGCGTGTTGGTCCTGAGCCCCAGGCCTCTCCACAGGGCTTAGAGGCCGTGGACAGCGACCCCGCCGTCCCACCCTATGACACGGCTCTCATCTATGACTACGAGGGGGACGGATCCGTGGCAGGCACGCTGAGCTCCATCCTGTCCAGCCTGGGTGATGAGGACGCAGACTACAGCTGCCTCTGGGACTGGGGGCCCCGCTTTGCCCGGCTGGCCGACTTGTACGGGCCCCGTGAGGGCACCAGGGAAGAGGCTTTCTGATGGGGACCTGCACCCACCCTGCTGAGGGCACGGCCTCCCGGACACAGGGCAGACCACAGGCGCCTGAGCGGACATGCCGGACTCGGCTGTGTGTCGAGATGGACAGAGGGCCCTGCGCCCCGCCCTGGGGCCTTGGCCGGCCTGGTCTCCGCCAGGGGAAGTCAGGGCCCAAAGCCTAGAGTGGAGTGGCCAGAAGGAGGCGCCCCTCTTGCCCCGTCAGTCGCCTCCAATGGGGTCAGAGGCCCCATTCCCAGCTCTGCTTCCCACCCACGCTGATCTCATCTCTGTATGAAAGGAAGCAGCTCTCGGGCAAACATGAATTAAAAACGTGCTCATCTCTCCAATGCACGGTTGGCATGGCGACTTGCAGGGCCTTTCTGCACCTCAGTCCCACCAGAGCCGCAGCAGTGGGCTGGCCTCCGGCTGGCCCCCGAGGGGGTGGGGGCAGTTGGAGAGGCTGCGGATGCCTGGTTGTGAGGGGGAGGTAGACACCAGAAGCCCCCTTCAGCCAAGGGTGCGGCCTGAGGGAAGAACCAGCGAGGGTGCCAAGTTCCACGGACACCTTTATGCTACCCATGTGGAGGGGGAACCAGGGCCCCCGGCAAAGAGGCCCCCTTCCCACCACCCTCCCGTTCCTTCCCGAGACCCGTCTGCCCGTACTGGCGGGTGGCGTGTCTCTGCAGCCTTGTCACCCCTCCCGGACCAGCTGTGTCCCGGCCCTGGGGAGGGAGGCTGGCAGCAGGGGCAGGCGGTCCTGGCGGGGGTGGCCCCAGAGGAGCAGGGAGCGGCGCAGGCGGTCGGCGTCCTGCAGCGACGGGGGCAGTGCGCAGCCACGGCTCTCGGGCAGCAGCAGGACGCGCAGCAGGGCGAGGACGGCCAAGGACGGGAAGGCCACGTGTTGCAGAAAGAAGCCGTGCTGCCACGCGTGTCGGTGAGCAGGGCGGCCGCCTGGCCCAGGAACCCAGCTCCCAGCACCAGGCCCAGCCCGGCACCCCTGCAAGAGGGGGCGGTGGGACACGGCCCAGTGGGGCACCCAGCGCTCCTGGGGTGGATGGCCCTTAGCGGGCCCCAGGAAGACAGCTGCAGAGTCTTGGGGGAAGCTGCCCTGGATCGAGCGTTGTCCTTTCCATTAGGAAACTGAAGGTCGATTTTTGCCCTGGAATCCGACCCTGTCTGGGGGCTCTCACTTCCGACCACCCACCGCTCCACCCCTGAGCTGATATGCAGACCCTTTTGCGGCCATTGTCCCCCTCGCCACCCAGGAAGAGACACCTGAACTCTGGTCCCGATGGCATGGACCTGGGGTGTGGGGAGCGTGGGGCGCACAGGCAGGGCCCTGCCCTCTAACCCTGCATCCTTCTGACCTGCTCACCGTGGGGAAGACCTCGGCTGAAAAGAGGCTGCTGAGGGTGGACACTGCCTGAGAGGCCAGGAGCCCCAGGACAGAGACGGGCAGCAGCGTCCAGCCAGGCAGGTCTGGGGAGGAGGAGAGGCCCCACGCTGCCCACACTCCCTCCCTCCCCTCACCCGTGTCTCAGGGATCTGGGCCTCCCCAGCCTTCCACCTCTGCTCCTGCACTTGGGGTCAGGGGTTGCAGGCTGCCCCCCGGCCACACCAAGCCCTTATATTAAGCCCCTTCATGTAGAATCTTTTTGGCCCTCACCTCTTTGGGCCTCAGTTTCCCCGGGTGTACACTGGGGAGGTGGGTGGGGAGAGAACAGCAGCGTCATGCGAATGCCTCATGCCCTGTGCCTGCCTCTCCGAGATCCCCACCACCACTGGGCAAACCCCCAGCCACACATGACAACCCTGCCAGCCTGCAGGGCCCCACACTCACACTGGGCCCCTGCAAGGAGCAGCAGGGGTGCCAGGCCCAGGACCAAGGTGCCCAGCAGCAGGACTGGGCGGCGCCCCCAGAGGTCTGCTGTCAGGAGCTGGAAGACGGTGGCCGCTGCCTCCAGGCTGGCCTCCAGGAAGTAGGGCCAACAGAAGGCGGGGTCACGCGTGGCCAGGTTGCGCAGGAAGCTGGCTCTGATACCCCCGCCGATCAGCCTGGGAGGCATGGCAAAGCTGCAGGCCCAGCCAGAGCCGCAGACTCTCACCCCATGGGGAAGGCCAAGATCCCTCCCTCCCCTTCGCCCACCCACACCCTCCCCTCCTCACGAACTGAAGCCCAGGAGAAGTCCATTTCTCCAGGCGACGCGGGTATGCCGGAGTTCCAGGACCGAGTAGGGCCGGGGCTGGGGCTCCCTGCACACAGCACGTCCGGCTCTGTGGCCCCGGGGACATAATGGGGCATGAAGGAGGGGATGACACCTCTCCTCCCTCCTCCAGCACCCAGGCCTCCCTTCTCCCTGGCTGGTCCATTCATTACCCGTAGCCAGGGAGCTCTCCTCCTCCGAGCTGTCTTTGGGGTCCACACCGCTGGCTTCCGCAAAGTGCCACAAGATCTTCCTGGCTCGGGCCGGCTGCCCTGTGGCCAGCAGCCAGCAGGGAGACTCGGGGAACAGGGCTGGAGACCTGTGGGTTTGGGGTGAGGATGCCAGGGGACCTCCCAGTAGAGAAGGACCCAGTGGCGAAGCATAGTGCATGGCTCTGTGTCCCTGGGTCCCTGGCCTGTGCCCATCTTCCTGCTGCTGCATGGAGGTCAGAGGGAAGCAACGCACGTGGCCTCCACAGTGGATGTGAACCCCTCTCATTCACCCCCAAAACAGCAGCAGGAGTCCTGTGGCCAGGGCGCTCAGCCCCTGCAGAAGGCGCCAGTCCTCCAGGAGCAGGGCCAGGCCAGGCAGCGGCAGCACGCCTGCCACAGAGAAGAGGCCGCCCCCACAGAGAATGCCAGGTGGTGCGGGGCGTCACACAGCTCCAGGCCTGGGCAGACACAGACGGCCTGGGGCCCAGGCCTCTCGGGAGGGCTGCCCTGTCCAGGGCTGTGGTGATCAGTCGCTGGCCTGCCCAGGACCTGGACATCTGAGGCACCCGGGCCTGCCCACAAAGAGCAGAGCCCACAGAGCAAACAGCTCCCCGCCCACCTTCTGGAGAAGGGCCCTCAACTGGAGTGCCAGAAAGGCACCCTCCAGCGGGTCAGAGGCCTAGCCTGAGTGGGCGGCCCCCAGAGCCCCCCACGGTACTCATGAGCCATATAGGGCTAGGGAGGCCCCTGCTGAGGCCCCCCCACGAAGCACCTGCAAAACCAGCAGGGTGGGAAAGCCAGTGGCCAGGGCCTTGCTGGCCCCCAGGCCCGTGGCCAGCACCAGGGAGCCCACAAACACAGCCCGGCGGCCAAACCTAGTGGGCAGCAGGGGACACACGTGGATTTGGGTCAGGTGGGCTCAGGGGAGGGCTGCCAGGGCAGAAGGGCAGGGGCAGTGCCTCACCGGTCACAGCCTGGGCCCAGGAGGACACAGCCCAGCAACCAGCCCAGGAGGTAGTCCACCTGCTCCAGGGGCACCTTGCAGCCGTCCTCACACACGAGGTTCCACTGTAGGGGATACCAGTCACCTGTCAGCTAGCCAGGACCCCTACCCCCGCTGGAGTTCCCAGAATGTCACGCTGGAAGGGACCCTAGGTACCCTGTTCCGATTCCTCCCTGGAGACAAGGGGAAACAGGTACAGAGAGACCAGGGACTGACTTGCTCAGGGTCACACAGCGTGGCCTCCCGACCCTGGTGGTCTTCACGTGGAACTGGACAATTCCTGGTCTGAGCCCCCAGGGGGTAGAGGCCTGGGGTCCCCAGGACACCCGCATGGAGCCCCAAGTCTGGTTTCTCCTTTGCTCTGCACGGGGTTGCACCTGCCTTTCTACGGCCATCACTCTGCTGCCAGGCTGGCCCCAGGGCCTCTCCTGCCCTTCCCCTGGCCTGTGCACCTCAAGAGCCACTCCCGGAACAGGCTGCAGGGCCACGCCCACCGGCTTTTCCTGGCCAAGGGCCCTTTTCCCGGGCTACTCTGTGTCTTCTCCTCAAGCTTGACACACCCTTTTGGGTCACACTACGTCAGAGTTTTTATTTTAAAATCCGACTGCTTGTGAAAGCTGGTGGGCAAGGATCCATCACTACACCAAACAGGTGGCCAGAAGGGGGAAGCCCAGCGGTTCAGGGCCCCAGGTGGGCCTGGCAGGTATGCGGCAACCCTGTCCAAGCTTCCACCCGGGGCCCTTCCTCCCAGGGGCAGGGGGTGGGGCTGCGGGCAGAGGCTGCCAAGAGGAAGGCAGGGTGGGCTGGCCTAGCCAGAGGAGGGGGAGGGAGGCCCCGTTACCCTCTCCGCTCCTGGAGCCCTGGGATGTGTCCTTGGCGTCCCTGCCCCTAGGCCAGCCTGCGCACACCTTACAGGTGGGAGGTCTGCTCTCAAAAACGGAAGTGACCCAGTCACTCTCTTGATTCAAAGTCTTGGGAGCCCAGCCTGAACACCTGCATAGCCCAAAGCCACAGGTTGCTAGAATGTTCATGGCACCGAAGGGAACTCCAGGCCCTGCTGACCGCTGGGCACCTACCTGCTCAAACCTTCAGCTTACCGCCTCCCTCCCGGACTGCCTGCCCACCTTGGCAGCACCCAGCCTCGGACTCTGCCTTTAGGCCCGGCACCCTGCCTATGGACACCTGCTGCACCGTCAGACAGGAGGGGGCTGAGCCCCGCGCAATCCAAAGCCCCAGTACCACAGCCCCGGTCGATCAAGGGCCGAAGACCGAGGCGGGACTGGAGGAGGGGGAACAGAGGAAGGTCGCTGAGGGCAGGGGGATGGAGGGAAGGGGAGACAGAGCAGGGAAGCAGAGGACAGGGCGGGGGACGGAGGGGCAGATGCAGAAGACCTGGGTGACCGGGCTGCGCAGCAGGCCGGCGGCGGGCAGCGCGTAGCGCCAGCCGCGCGTGCAGGACCGCGTGCCGTTGGGGCGGACGTGGGGCGCGGGCTCGGGGTAGCTCAGCGGCAGGCAGGGGCCGGGGTCGAGCGCGGGGTCCGGACCGCAGTGGTTTGCGGGCAGCGCGGTGAGCAGCAGCTCCGAGCCCAGCGCCACGCACGGCAGCCACGAGGCGGCGGCCAGCAGGCACCGGGACCGGCCGAAGCCGCCCGCCGCGCGCAGCACCCGCGCCTCCAACTCCGTCCCAGGGCTCTGCACTCCGGCTGCCGGCGGGGCGGGGCCT